TTTTTGTTTATTATTTATTAATACATTATGACTATAAGAAAATAATAAAATAAATTATGGGAAAATGAGAAGTTATGGAAGGAGTTTGTCGATTTAAAATAGGTGGTGCCCGCCACCCTACCGATATTTTAGAATGTGCTCTAGAGTAAAAAAAAAAAGGTTGGGAACCCCTGCAGTAGATAGACCACATGAACACTAGACACTGAGGTTCTGAGTTCAAGTACAAGTCTAATAAAATGGATGTGTAACGTTATCGGATGAGGTCATTGTCTGCATAGATCTAACGGGAGTATGGGGTCTGGAATTCATATCAGGTTAACTCTACTTCACCTATCTTTTTTTGAATGTTGTGGCTGGAATGTTTGCTGTATCTGCTTAGAGTGTTAAGAATGCCGTGTTATGTATATTGAAGCAGTCATATGAAGTAGAGTTAATCAGTATCATTGACTTCGACAATATTACAACGATTACACACACATAATTTAAATAATCATCTCATTTTCATTTATTTGTGGTTGAAGGGGAAAAAACTGGTGTGCCGAAATCACGCCCCCCCCCCCTCACCCCGCAACATCTGTTTTGAACTTGACCTTGTTCGGGACGAACACGAAAAAAAAATATCAGGTTGTGACGTCACCACATGCCTGGAAGGGCAAGCGGCCGGTCAGTGAAAGAAACGGTCACGTGAGACCAAATCTTGAAATGCCGGATGTCCTTAGGTGCGTCTTGTGACGGCGTGATTTGTCCGTCCTCACTCCCCACCCCCACCCCACCCCCCACCCCCTCCCTTTCCACAGACTCGTCTATTTTGTTTAGTACACCGGTTTTTTCCCTTGCTCACCATTAGGATGCGATGAGCTGTTTGTGTAACAGAGAACCTCGGTATTCACAGACCGGAAATGAGATTTCGAAAGTAGCCTCTGTTGTTGTTTTTTTTTTCTACATTTATAGTGCACGAGTAGTATGTAATTGTCAGGGAATATATTTATTTTTTTTCAAAAATATTTTGTAGAATTATTTTTTTCCCCAATGTTATTTATCCGGCCAAGTTTATCAGTTAAAATAGTTACACGTCAAAAACGTGAGCACTTCTGTTTACGTCTAGGGGTTTTTTCTTTTATTCCCGCCGAGAAGGGGGGGTGTAATTGTTAAAGGAATTATGTCCAAAAGCAATTTTGTCCTGAAGCCAACGGATAGCCGTAACGAGATAGAAATGTTTATTTTAAATTTTAAAGTTTTTTTTTTTTTTTATACTAGACTCTGACTGCTTGGTATGGGGATTTCAATAGTCTACCTGTTACAGGAGAACTAACAGTATATTTCACTTCCCTGACAGTAAATCTAGCAGGTTTTCATGTCAAGATAAGCTTTATATGAGGTGGCTCAACGCCACGGTGTCTTGAACCTGCTAGCTCGAGTATGCAATATACAGCACTATTTTCAACATAGCATCATAAATATGTACTTTACAACCTACCGGAAAGTAAAAAGTAAAGTTTACCTTCCAAACTTGACGGTCTATGGGAAAAGTGAAGTAGAGTTCACCTGTTTCTGTGACCTCGGCATATAAAGGGATAATGTGGTCAGCACTATGCCCAGCCGCTCCCCCCCCCCCCCTTCCCCTAACTTGAGTTATGTACCCATCAGAGCTGTGTGGACTTAGGGACGGTCTACTGACTTGAACCCGGATTATATACTCTAAAATCTTTTTTTTTTTGCTATGTACATGAACTTCCATCCCCAGTTCCAATTTGTTAAACCTACAATCACAAACACGTACCTCTTAACCCTCCCCTCACAATGTACTTATTAAACCCTCCATCACCATCTTCATTATTTAATACACCATCCCCATCATATATTTCAATTTCAACAACTCACATAAAGTGCTTTCTCATTAGTACTTTCTTAACCTTCCATCTTTAACTTGTACAAAAAAAAAAAAATTCTACGACTTTAAGACACCCCCAGTAGTTTAAATTAAAACCGGAAGTCAAACAGCTTCCATCTTTTTTTTTACTGGCTGATCCGTGCGACTTTATTTGACAAGCTTTTGTCCTGTTGGTCGTCTTTCTGGTGTCTGTCTGGTCTGCTTAGACCCGCGGGGCCGGAGACATTCGGAAATATGGACGTCACTAGCGGTGCTGCTGATGACGTCACTTGTAGGGTGGAGGTGTTGATGGCACTAGTGCCGAGGTCATAGAAACAAAACCGGTGAACTTCATCTGACCCATGATGCACGGCATGTTCAAAGAGGCAACTTACTATTGTTTACGTCACTAGTATTATGGAGGTACTGACGTCACTTTTCGGGGGAAAACTGATGACGTCAGAATCTAAGAGACTTTACCGTGAGATAGAGATAAAAAAAAGTAATTCACAGTCTACTTTTAACAGCTCTGGCCATTTTAGTATGTGTCTACTGTTTGATTTAGCAGAATTTATAGAATAAATATTATTTTCTCCTTATACCAGTTTGAAATAAATACCAAAAAAAAAAAAACAACGCATCCTTAATTGAGATGGGGGTTCGGGGTAGTTCAACATAGTTTTACTAATAAAATAGCCCTGGTAGATTCACGCAATAAGAAGATTCCTTACAGTCCCTATTTATCAACGTCGTGGGTGTAGTCTGAGACCATTTTGTTTGTCACGGAAAGTTTCGAGAACAAATTTCGATATGAAATGGGTTTTTTTTTCTCTATTATAGTTTATGTTTTGTTTAGTGGGGTTTTCTCTGTTGTTGTAATGTAATGCAAATAAGATGGTGTGTTGTGGGGGGGGGGGAGGGGGGGGGGGTGATCACACACTTGTGTGTTAGTAGGAGCACCTTCTGGGTGATTGTGTGTCGTTTGTGAGTGCTCCTGTGTGATGTGTGGGTGTGTGAGTCCACACGTGTGATGTGTTTGTGAATAGTTGTAAACAAATCTGTATGAGGTGTGGGATGAGTGGTTGTGAGTGCACCCGTGTGCTGTGTGAGTGGGTGGTTGTAAACACACCTGTGTGGTGTGTGGGTGGGTGTGAATGCATCTTTGTGAGGTTGGTGGGTGGTTGTAAACACAATTGTGTGATGTTGGTAAGCAAATATGAGCACGTATGTGTGGTGTGTAGGTTGGTGGTTGTGAGTTCACGATTCGCTGTTGAACAGCTACTCGTCTCGCACACACGCGCGCACACACACACACACACAATCTAATACGTAAATATAAAACATGTATTTATAACCTTTACGTCAACCACAGAATCTGTAAGCGTATAAAGGAATCAGATGTATCAAATACTATCTAAGCGAGACCACCCAGCTGTTTTATTTTATGTTAGCGCTGAAAATGACGTCATCGTCTTATCCCAGAATCCTGTTCACATCCCACAATCATTTGACGTGACATCAGACCTACAGCTACACAAAAATCTACTTCACGTGACAACCAGCCTTCGTTTTCCATTACTTCATTCATTTTATTTTGTTACCATTCATTTTGGTGTTTTTTCTTCTAAACTCATTTTCTCGTCAACTTATATGTAGGCCTATATGGGCGATGATGACGTCGATGTATGTGTAAATACGAGATAACGTCAACGTTTGTGTATATGAGAGATGACGTCATCAACGTATGTGTATGTGAGATGATGTCGACAGCATATGTGAGAAGCTAATCTGTGGCTGCTCCAGCTAACTCAGGTCCATCACCACCTTCACACAGTAATTCAACACGGTTATACGTGTACTCAGTAATGATGTAAATCATTAACACAATTATCGATCTATAGAGAGGTTGCACGTGATGTCATGGATTTGTAACCATGTAAACGTCCGCCATTTTGGGTCTACATTCAAAATGGTGGTCTGCACTGTGAAAGGTTGTAGTTCTCGCTATGGAAATTGTAAAAAGGCGTTTCTTTATTTCGACTGCCTAAAGTTATATTACACCTAGGTGAAACAGATCGGCAGTTAACTGAACGTAGACGTCGTACATTTTTGGCCAATATTTACCGAAGCGGTGTGAGTGAAGCAGCTGCAAACAACATTCGGATCTGTTCTCGACACTTTGTTTCAGGTAAAGAGTTAAATGATTTACCTTTAATAAAATGTTAGGTCATCGCAAATACTAATATATCGAAAGTTATAAAACGTAATTTGTATTAGAGTCTAGTCTCGTGAATATATATAGTCAATATTCGATATATTATATAGTAATATATTGTATTATTTTACCATACTCATATTGACGAGTCTAGCTAGAGTAAGGCCTAGCTGGGTAGCTAGATCTAGTTAAATACTCTATCTACAACTACTACTAGATCTAGTACTGAAACTTATCAACTGTCTAATTATTATTTAACTAATTATAGTCTCATAAACACTTATAATATATGATAAGCCTAAAAACTTTACTATTGTATTACGGCATAAATAATTTTTTTTGGTTTCTGCAACTGAAATTATTGGAAACAAATTGGGTCACAGGTTACACTAGTTCTAGGTTAGGCAGACATAGAACTCTAGGATTAACTAATTATTACTTAAATTAACTTTACAAAATTTACACTAGATTCTAAATATTTTATCAGAGTAAATAAAGAATAGTAAGTAATAGATCTAGTAGACTTAAATATAACTTTATTTTTTAAACTGTATATCATATTGAGTCTAGTAATTATTAATAACATATTATATATATTATAGTTAGTCATATTTCTCATATTTGGATAAGCTTTTTAAAAGTAGGCCCTCTATTCACGTGTAGTCTTTTTAAAAAAAATATTCTATTTATCCAGGTAGACCAGCAAACTTCAGAGATGAAACAAATGTTGACTGGGCTCCCACTCTGTTCCTTGGACATGATAATATTTCTATGGCAAAAGTGAAGTTATCAGTCGAAAGACACACACGTACATTAGAGAGACAAGCAAAGAAACGTGCCTATGAAGCTGCAGAGGCCCTTTTGGTACTACCATTGGGCTTAAATAATCAAACAACCAACATTTCCCCAGTGGATATGGGTGAAGGCAATTCAAATATTCAGTGCTTCAATAATCAAACAAACCACACTTCCCCAGTGGATATGGGTAAAGATAAGGCAAATATTCAGACAATCAACACTTCCCAATTGGCTATTAGTCATCAATATGCAAAGGATAGCACACAAACTATCACTAGCAGCATTGGTGTCAATATAGATTCTCTTTTTTTTGAGATGCAACAGTTAAGGTGTGAGAATTATTTGCTTCGTGAAAAAGTATTCTTTGAGCTAACCCCAGAGTCTTTCATTAATGACGATGATAAAGTCAAATTCTACACAGGTATTCATTCTTATGGTGTACTGATGCTTATTTTCAATAGCAGTAGTGGCACTATAAATCATAACCACAATAATTGTCTCACCAAGTTTCAGGAATTTGTGCTAACATTGATGAAATTAAGGCTTAGTCTGCAGCTGCAAGATCTGTCATACAGATTTAAAATTTCACTGTCAACAGCCAGTAGAATTTTTGAGAAATGGGTTCGCCATATGGCTCACAACCTTAGACAATTTATAGTGTGGCCTGAAAGGGAGGACATACAAAAAACTATGCCTAATTGTTTCAAGCGTTCCTTTGGTGCAAACACAGCAGTTATTATTGATTGTTTTGAAATTTTTATTGACAAACCATCAAGTCTACCTGCTAGAGCAATCACCTGGTCACAATATAAACACAATACCATTAAATTTCTTATAGGCATCACTCCACAATGTACTATATCTTTTATATCTAAGGCTTGGGGTGGTAGGGTTAGTGATAAATACTTAACAGAAAATTGTGTCATTTTAAACAAACTTTCACCTGGAGATTTAGTTTTGGCTGATAGGGGATTTACAATAGCAGATAGTGTTGGGCTTTATTGTGCAAAGCTTGCTATTCCTGCTTTTACAAAGGGAAAAAAACAACTATCAGCTTTGGAAGTGGCTGAGACAAGAAAGATTGCAAATGTTCGGATTCATGTAGAAAGGGTTATTGGGTCAGTTAGACAAAAATACAAAATTCAAAGTGACACTTTACCACTGGATTATTTAAATGAAAAGGGCAATCCTTTAATAGATGATATAGTGACCACTTGTTGTGCATTGATTAATCTTTGTCCAGCTATTGTGCCTTTTGATTAATTTGAGTATTTAAAAATGCCATTTATTGTTGTCAGCACAATTTATTGTTACCAGGTTGTATTTTAATATTTAATAAAAAATAAAAACACATTTCATATTTCATTTTTATTTTAACTTATTCAGAGTAGGCTTATTTCTTTTTGTCAGTGGTAAGCCAACAGCTTTAGTAATGCCAGATGCCTTTTTATTGGTATAATAGCATGCCAACAGTTCAGGCAATATAATTTTCTGAAAAAATTCTGCTGCCTTAACAGAGATGCTTGACCACAAATTACTGTCAAAAAAAATTCTTTCTATGTAAACATCTTTTGTTGTCCATATGACAAAATCAGCATATGAAGACTTGGTAGCTGCCATTTGGGTCTGGATTTGATAGTAGTAGCGGTGTGTGCTACGTAATTGTTTATTTGGTCCCAGACCAAGGTTTTTGGCCTCCTTATTGGATATGTCACTCAACATTTTCTCCTTAGTGCACACCTTGTCCACAGCAGTCACAGGTAACCAGACCATCTGGAGAGGCTCCTATGTAGTGCATTTCAGGATGAATTACTAGTCCACTGCAGTGGGCAGCCAAAATAACTCCAGTTTGTTGACAAAAAAGCCATGGCTCGACTGGCTTTTCTGCTGCCTTCTGTGAATGCTTGACCTGCAAAATAAGACAAGTATTAATTAACAAATTGAGGCTATAACATAAACACAAATCAAACTGTTGTAGCTGATTAAAAGGAAAAATAATTCAAGCTAGAAAACATTGGATTATTAGAATCAACAAAAATGTACAGGTCCTAAAAAGTTTGGTACCTTATAGTGGTACTAATTTTCTATTTGATTTTTTTATTTTATGAATGGGCTCATCATGGGTTTACCATCATGGTTTTAAGCATGGTAAACCCATACCAAATGTTGCCATCAACTACCACTGAGCAGAACAAGTCACCAAATTTAATGTAAAATTAGTGTTTATTTTATGTGAGAATGGTTTAGAATAATCATCAATATTTATTATTAATATTGGATTAGTAAAATCCAAAAAAAATGGACAGGTCCTAAAAAGTGGGATACCTGCCTTATACTTATACCCTGCTTTCCCCTAAGTCATTTAAATATTTAGGTAAACATCATAAGACATAATATTTAGTCTATTATAATAATATATAGATTCTAGTATAGAATTGACTTACTTTGGCAACAACGACGACTTTGCTTCCAAATTCTCTGCATTTTGATTGGGACACAAGCCCATCCGTAAAGTATACATAGGACTTCAGGCTTTTATAGTTTCTCATCTTTTCCTGTGTCACTTTGTTGGTCGAAAACACTAAATAGTTCACTATGTCCATGTTTTCAATTTTTGGCCAAATACTGATATCATCTACAAGTTCTTGAAGTTGACGCTTATCACTAAGAAGATACGGATCTTCAATGCATAAAAGTTCAATTTTTTAAATGTATTGTTCTTGCTCGGTAGGTGCGAGGCTTTTAACATAAGCTGAACACATTCTGGAACTAGTCTAACACAAAACTGTACTGAAGACTCCACTGCCTAGCGCTTTTATATTAAAATAATTTATATACACCGGTTGTTAAGGCCGGCGATAGGGCATCAACATGGCGGTCAACATGGCGGCGGATGTAACATCACGTGGTTTTGGTCACGTGTGTGCAACCTCTCTATTGATTGATCTCGAGGATGTAGTAGAGAATAAGGACAGCTGCCATCACAAAACAGCTGCAGGGAGACTTTTTAAATTTTTCTCTCATGTTAAATTTGATGTACATCTCAAAGTCGTCTAATTGGGCTCACGCACTTACACACACATACGCATATATATATATATATATATATATATATATATATATATATATATATATATATATATATATATATATATATATATTTACTAGCCGTCCCGGCCAGGCCCTGCTCTGGCTTCTGTGAAAAACCTTTCTGTTAAAGACCATTACCTGTGTGTTTAGTGATCATCATAAACCCGGCATTGCCCACCCAAACCACAACCAACAAAAACAACAAAACGCAAACATAACGCTAACACAATTACAAATACAAACGAAAACAAAAACCTAACAACAAACCCAACCACAATCACAAACACCAATACAAACACAAAGAAAAAACAAACAAAAAAGCAAACGAAAACAAAAAACCTAACAACAAACCCAACCACAAACACTAATACGAACACAAAGAAAAAAACAAACGAAAAAGCAAACGAAAACAAACCAAATCCAAACGCAAAACCAACCACAAACACAAACTCAAAGAAAAAAACACAAACGAAAAAGCAAACGAAAACAAACCAAATCCAAACGCAAAACCAACCACAAACACAAATAAAAACACAAACCCAAAGAAAAAAACACAAACGAAAACGAAAAAAGAAAGAACAAAAACGAACCAAATCAAAACGCATCCACTAACGCAAACCCAACCTAAACACAAAGAAAACACTAACGCGAACATAAACGCAAAGTGCTCACAGTATAGCCCGGGGCAGAATCGCCTGTTTCAGCTTAATAATCGACTACAGTACCCCAACTTATTCATAGTCTTTTGCACTCACTTAAACGAACGTAGGTGCCAAACCAAACCAAATGAACAATTATAATACTCCAAGCTTATTCGTAAAATACCTACAACATTTGCACTTGATCAATCCCCGCTAATTATGTAATTATTTTTTTCCCAACACCAAAACAAAGTAATAAAAGAAAATTCTTTTCCACTAATGCAGTGTTTTATAAAGGGAAGTAATTGTGTTTTCCTAATTTATCAAAGGGAAGAAAGTGCTAAAGGATTAAATATAAATAATTTTCAGACATAATTAGAATTTTTGTTATTTTTTTTAAATTGTGTTTAATGAACATGCCGACAATTATTATTATCAGTTTGAAAAATGAAAATTATTTCCCAACACTTTCAATAGTAATTTTTTAACTCATAAATTTAGATTATGAGAACGATAATATTCTAACACTTAAACCCATAGAAGTATGTCAACGACAAACAAACAAAAGCGGACTTTAAACCCCAAAACAACGACAACAACAACAAACAAATTTATTTTTACATACAGAATTGAGCTTTATATATTAGATATATATTTATATATATAATCAGTGGTATTTACAGAGTGTTATCCCCAACATTGACTGCTGTCTTTATATATATATATATATATATATATATATATATATATATATATATATATATATATATATATATATATATATATGCATCTATGTCTTATGTCTATCTTTTTATGTGTCTAAGTTTATGTATTTATGTCCCTATATCTACGTGTCTACGTCTGTATACCATGTATATGTGTGAACGTCTAAGTATGCGTGCCTTTGTCTATGTGTCTGTGTTTATATTATTAAGAGAATGAAAGCGATTTATAAAGCTAAATGTATCGACTAACCAATAATTAGTTTCTTAATGCAAACTGAGCAACGCCTTATAACGTTGACGCCCACTTGCACATTAAGTAGATCTGTATCTTAACGGCCTGGTATTCATAAGCATCTCCAGAATAAAATAGATTGCATTACGTCCGAGTTCACAAGGCGACTACACCACTGGGTTACCGGTCCTGTTTTTAGACATGTTAAATGACGTCAAGGGGAGGTAATTTTCTTTATTGGATGCAACGGGATTAGTTCAAGGGAAGATAAGTGATGTATGTATTAAAGGGAAGACACTGTTATCCAATTTTATTTATACAACGGTGAAATGTATGTTCTTCGAAAGACAAAGAAAATACAGTTAGAACATAGATATGTGGCTCTAGTAAAGTGTAGCCTACGTATAGTAGAATAGTGTAGAGATGAGCGAAGCAGATTTAGGTGGGGCCAAATATGTGGTGGAGGATTATGATTCTCGACAACTAAAAAAATAATGATAATTACATTCAATTTTTTTTTGTGCGTATCAAACATATTTAATTGCATTCTTTTTTTTTCTTTTTTTTTTCAATTACACAGCGACAAGCAAGAAATTTTTAAAGTCTAAGCAAGAAATTTGTGTAGTATCAAAATTTAGCATGCGAATCACTTTTTCAAGTTTTTAATTTTCTTTTTATAATGGTTTCTTGTTTCCGTATATTTATCACAACAGAATTATTTTTTTACATTTAATGAAAGATTAGAAAACAATCTGTGTCTTTACTAATTAGTGCAATAATGATTCTTAAACGCTGGCTTTCCTTTTCATTATAATAAAAGTGTTGCTATTCTCTTTTGTTTATTATGGTAAATATTTTTCTTTATCTCCCTTGGTTTATGATAGTAAACACGGTATTACTTCCCTTGATTAGCTGCTGTTGATGATGACGATTCTGCTATGTTGTTCCTACATCGGCACACAAATCGCGGACACTCGCAGTGATGGTGGAACATGTCTCACCTTTTGTGTACCATGTCTCACCACTTATATACCTTGTCTCACCATTTTGTGTACCGTGTCACCACTCAACTTTGCTTGAATGTCGGGTGGGGGGAGGAGGGAAGTTAGTAAATAAAATAAGGCAAACACACAGGGGATTCTCAACCACACACAATATAGACCGGTTTGTAGAATTACAACTTCTGGTAGAACTTGTTCAAATAATATAGGCCTATATGCAATTTCTTATAACAACGTATCGGAAGCCCCCCCCCCCCCACCCCCCCCCCCCCACTCCTTTTTTAGAACACCATAAATAAATATTTTATAAGGAACACTAGTGTTGAATACCACTAGACACAAAAACATCGAATTTAATTTACAATAATATATTTTTACTTAATAAATTATAAATAAAACATGAACTTTCTCGACATATTTGGTTCAGAGGCGTAGCGACCCTTCCGGCGCCCGGGGACAAACTTTTCGATTTGCACCCCCCCCCCCTCGAGATTTCGATTTGCACCCCCCCTCGAGATTTCGATTTGCACCACCCCCTCCCTCAAACTTTCGATTTGCACCCCCCTCGAGATTTTGATTTGCACCCTCCCCCCCCCCTCAAACTTTCAATTTGCACCCCCTCAACCTTTCAATTTATTTTTCCAACCCATTTTGGCGCCCCCTAAGCTCGGCGCCCGGGGACATATTTCCCCCCCCCCCCCGCCCCGCCCCCCCCCCCCCCTCGCTACGCTACTGATTTGGTTTACATAAGACATGTACTTAAACTACACATCATCGTTCTATAAGAATCGGACTAACATTGGAAAGAAGAAAGAAGACAAAACTGTCCACCTTTCTACTCTCTTGTCCAGGTCTAAATCTCAACCTGTAGATATTTTTTTACTCTAGTCCTGATACAGCGCTAAAATTGTAGCGACCGGACAACGTGATTATCCCCCTTTGACGAGCAGTGGCCGCAACTCTTGGGTAGAGTCCACGGTCCGTCTGACCGACGCGATGCGCGCGCAGTCACTTGGCGAGCTTTGCATGTGGGGGCGAGGGGAGCTAATCCAAACAGACACGTTGTTAGAGTGAATTTCTCTTAGTCAAGTAACGTCGTAAATTTCGGGAGCAGTTTCGGTTTCGCGAGTGTGGCGGATAGTGAACTCCCCTTTATGTGAAAACATGGATATTTGTTGTGTTGTGGATTTAAGGATTTCACACGATTTCACGGATTTGTAATTTTATTTCGACGATTTGGAACAACAGGCATAATAGTAGTGACTGTAGCGTTTATTTTAGTCGTTGTAATTCTGTTTATCTTCACGGCCCAAAATTTTCATTTTATTTCTACTTTTGAAAAACAGTTTTAGCAAATTGTACAATGGCTTTGTGTAGGAGAAAAGTGCGATTTTCTCAAAACCCAAATTTTGGATATATTGCATTTTGAAAATAAACTCTTCATATATAGTCCTATATATATATATATATATATATATATATATATATATATATATATATATATATATATATATATATATATATATATATATATATATATATATATATACATAGGCCTATATATATATATTTATATATATATATATATATATATATATATATATATATATATATATATATATATATATATATATATATAGTCGATTAGCCGTACCCGGATTATCGGTTATTTAGTATCGCCCTTAAGGGTGTCATAACCCTCCCAATATAACCCTATCAGAGACCCAATCCAATGTTATAGGGCTGTAACATTGTTATCAGCCAAACCTACTCCACAAGCGTGAGGGTACGGCTAATCGATACGAACTAAACAATCCTCTACCGTCATATAATATACTTTACAATGCTGAAACAACACTGAAAGGCAATCGTTAAACCAGTGCAAACAATCACTACCCTGTTTGTTCTCGTATAGACGTGCATTTGGCCCTTATAGCCGTAGTGTTATACACGATAATCTTCAGTGCTGTGTAACTCATGCCGAGGTGAAAAGGGGGGGGGGGGGGGGGATGGGGTCTCAATGTTAAGATATCAGGTTAAGAACAGGTAAGAATACAGGTGAATCATGCTCACCTAAAGCAATAATGCACACTGGGATAATTGCAGGTGTTGTTTTTTTCATGCAGAAACATTATTCACATTACGTTGGTGCAAATAATGGGGTAAGATGCGGCAGAGGCGGCGCTAG